TTCTCCTCTTTCTGACTGGATTGCTATGAGTTGGAAGGAACTCGTGGCTGTATGTTATTAGGAGGCTTTGAGGGTATAAACAATTAATGTGCTCAGCTGCTAATCAGAAGACTGGAGGCTTGAGTGTACTAAGAGGGGACTTGGAAGAAAGTTCTGGCAATCTACTGCAGAAGAATTAGCCATTGAAAATCCTGTGGAGCACTGTTCTATGCTAGTGTGTATAGGATTGCCATGAATTGAAATTGACTTGCTGCCAACTAGTTATTTAAGGCCTATTAAGGCATTCTGTGTTTAATCAATATGAATTACTATTCTTTTATATACCTTTTAAATGATTTACTAAATGGACTTGGGTATGAGTCAATCCATGATATTTTATTAATTGATCAGAAACAAGTGGTATTTTGCTCTTTTCTAGCTCCTTTTACAAGTCACTTTTTTTCATTTCACTTTAGAAGTATAATTGAGATAATATCATGTGTTTCATGATACATATATAATTTTTAGCCCTTACAATTTATCAATACTTGAAGTCTGGTTTTGATTAAAACTTAGAAGGCAATGGTTTTGATTAAAACTTAGAAATGAGAGAAATAAAATTCATCTTTGGAAATTCTATGTAATTCTTAACAGACCAAAGAATTGGACATTATTGTTGTTGTTAGGTGACATCTAGTTGGTTCCAACTCAAAGTTATGGTATGCACAACAGAACGAAACACTGCCCAGTCTTGTGCCATCGTTAAGCTTGAGCACATTGCTGCTGCCACTGTGACAATCCATCTTGTTAGGGGTCTTCCTCTTTTTCACTGACCTTCCACTTTATCAAGCATGATGTCCTTCTCCAGGGACTGGTCCCTTCTGATAACATATCTGAAAGATGACGAATTGGGCATAGTCACTTTAAACAAAATCATTTTTAGGCAAATAAGTCTTGATAATAATTTAATGTGTTCACAAATACAAAGAAAAAACTATGTCTTTTAGATAATGTGAATCATATTACCAGCAGTGTTCCCTCAAGTACAGTTCCAGATGAAGGAACTTGAACAGTGGATTTTGAGTGTTCCAACCCCAGCTCCTCCGTAGAGATGGGGTGTGAGGCTTACTCTGCAAAGCACTATGAAGTCTTTTGTTAACTAACTTTTGTACCATCTTCATTTAAACTTAGGGCAATGGTTTCACTCTGTAATTTAATTATGAGTACATAAAAAAAACAACCAAAAAACCCCAAACTATTACCATCAATTCAATTCTGACTCATAGTTACCCTATGTAGGGTTTCTGAGGCTGTAAATCTTTATAGTAGTAGACAACCTCATGTTTCTCCCAAGGAGTGACTAGTGAGTTTGAACTGCCTCTCTTGTGGTTAGCAGCCCAACGTGTAACCTATGGTGCTATCAGGACTCCTAATGTGAGGTATACCAAAACCAAACCCCAAAACACTGCTGTGAAGAAGATTCAGACTCAGTAGGGACCCTATCTAGGGTTTCTCAGACTGGAAATCAGCTTAATCTTTCTTCCTCTGAGCAGCTTACAGGTTTAAACTGCCAACCCTGTTGTTAGCAGCCCAGTGCCTAACCCACAGCACCATCAGGATAATTTGGGATATGGAAGGAGAAAATATTCCAGTTTTGCCAACATGAATTTGTTATACTTAGCAACAGCTTTAAAATTTTGCATTGCCAATTAATAAATTGGAGTCCTGGTGTAGTGCTGTGGGTTAATGCTCTGGACTGCAAGGTTGGTGGTTCAATCTCACCAATCGCTTCTCGGAAACCCTAACCAGGGTCACTGAGTAAAAACCGACTCGATGGCATTTAACTACAACACAATGATGGTTAATAAATTTGGTGTTGTTGTTAAGTGCCGTCCAGGGAGTTGTTGTTGTTAAGTGCCTTCAGAGTCAGTTTCAATCCATAGCAACCCTGCATAGGGTTTCCAAGGCGTGGCTGGTGAGCCTGAACTGCCACTTTGTGGTTCAAACCGATTTTCCAGTCCAGCGCATTAACCTGCAGTCCACACGAGGATTCCTCAAGTCCGTTAGCACTTGAGATTTTAATATTTGTTTTGTGTGTTAGAGAGAGAAAGAGGGGAAGAGAGAAAATAGTAGTAGGAAGACAGAATGAATATGAGTGAGAGGGAGAGAGAAAGAGAAAAAGCTTCCCTCCCAGGTGCTATTTTCATATCCACCTCTCTCCTGCATGCTGATTTTTCCTAAACATTATTTGGTAAACATTGACTCATGTCCAAAAACTTGAAAGAAACTTTAAAAGAGCTTTCTCACTTCCGTTGGTGCCAGTGTTAAACAAACATCAATTTTAATGTTATTATCATACTCTAGTAATTCGGTGGTCTCATTAGTCTAATAGTTTTGAAATACTAACGAAGAAGTGCTAATTAACTTTGCCGTTATTTCCAAGGGGAAAAAAAATCCTCTTTAAATGTATGTTTATTCATGTGGAACTCTAGTTTTTATTTGTTCAAAGCTTTCAAGAAAGTGAGGCGGCACAGGAGGCACTCACTCATCTGTGCCAAGAAATTTGGAAGAAAACTATCAGGCCTGCTGATTGCAAGAGATCCATATTTGTGCCCATTTCAAAGAGAGGTGACCCAACGGAATGCAGAAATCATCGGACAATATCTTTGATAGCCCATGCAAGTAAAGTTTTACTAAAAGTAATACAGAAACGACTGCAAGTATACATGGACAGAGAACTTCCAGAGGTTCAAGCTGGACTCAGAAGAGGCTTTGGAATGAGGGATATCATTACTGATGTCCGTCCGATGGATCTTGGCTGAAGGCAGAGAATATCAGAAAGATGTTTACCTGTGCTTTATTGA